AGACTAAGAATGGATTTAAAATGTTGATCACTGATTTTCGTAAAATCAATGACCAGCTCTGTGCGCTTGACACTCAGTTTAGCGGCCTTCAGCTGCTGAATGAGTCCCATAAGCGTAAGAAATCCGCTGATTGTGATCCGCCTCAGCTTGCTCAGCCGACTTAAACGCAGCCGCTCATATCTTTGGCCACCCCAAGGGCTAAAACTGAGAACGTTTTCGAACTTGCGACACCGAAACCCTTACAGGTGATTCCTCCATCGAAACATATATTTGTTTCTTGGCTTGCCCCTGATACTTCAGAGATTGATATCCAAAACTAAAGCCAATATACAGGTGAAGGACATAGATAAATATATAAGGCGCACGTCTTATTTCAAGATTCGTGTGCCCGCGCTTATGTTCAAGACGATTTGTTCGTCCAAGAACTTATATACTTATGGGAGTGAAACTTATTAAAACATATAAGAACAACGGATCAACCTTCCACCTCTTCTTTGTCGACAACTCCAAAAAACTAATATCGTCACTAACACTTACTGCAAAAAACTGTTGTTCCGTTTCCCGCACAATTTGCCGCGGCTAGGTCACAGAGTTAGAGTTTGTGGGTCTGTGGGTCCGAAATTTTAGTTTGACGTGATGGCCCGAGCCCAGAAATAATACCAATAGCATAAATAGCATAAAGGTCGCTGCCGCTGCTTCGTCGCCGCTGCTATTCCTCTTTCTGCGTTGCCGTAGCTTCTCCTAGGCCATCGCTGGCCACACGCAGGCCTTCCTACCTTTCAGAAAACCCCCTTGGGTCTGGAATTGGTCAAAGACTGGGCAGCGCTCTTCTGCTCCGCTACACCAGGGAAACATACCACACGCGGTAGCGAGTCTGGCCAATGGGCCTCTTTATATACTGATTGGTGCGCCCATTAATTCTCGTGGATTCTGCCCCTGCCGTTAATCCTGCCTCCGAAATAACGCCACTTTCCCGTTGGCGGGTCGCCGTCCGTGCCCCCTCGCCTCTCGGGCCCCCTCGTGTGAAATAGTCCCAGAGCTTGACCGCTTTCGTACTCCCTCAACCCCCCTTCCTTGACTTAGCCCATGCCACCTTTCTTGGCGTGTGGGGAGACTAAATCTCCTCACATTTCCCACATTTTTTGGAAAACGAAAAAAATAGTTGTTGGGCAAAGTTCCACGGGCCTCACCGTAACCGCATTGTAGATACGTCTCAAAAAACATGTTGATTCTCGTATGTTATTTCTCTTTGTTGTGGTGGGGATAACCCCATAATCCTGTGGATAACTTCCCCTTTCTTCCGGGAAACGACTGAGCGTCGCAAAACCAATCAAATATGACCAAAACCATTGTGTTCCCATGTTTCGACCTGGGCAGGACCTGTCTCAGCATTTTTCCTGCCGCTTGCACCTGGCACGACTTGTACTGCAGGCAGGTTTCGCACCTCCTGACATATTTCCGGATGTCCCTCTGCATCTCTGCCCAGAAGTATCTGGCGGCCACTTTGGCTATTGTTTTCCTAGGTGTCCTGCCGTCGGTGCGCCATGATTTTCTATGAGGACCTGTTGCCTCGTCTCTGTAGGCACCCACAGTCCATGATGCCACTTTCTCGCTTCCGGCTCTATCCGGGACGGGGCGGTAGACCAACCCGCCCTCTTCAAAAAAATCCGACTTCTGCTTGCTTGTCTTCATCTTGTTCTTCAGCGTATTTATCAACACGCATTCTTTGATTCCAGTCTCCGTGATTAGTTTCTTAGTTTCTCCAATATTGGCTGGCGGGACAGCGCGTCGGCAACCGCGTTGAGCTAACCCTTTCGGTAGCCGATGACGTAATCATACTGTTCAGCTCGGATCTCGATATTATTGAGTAGTTCTTTTGAGTAGTTCTTATGTAGTAGTTCTTTTCAGCCCCAATCAACGTTCGACTGGGTTAGGCGATCCCCTTCCTCGCTGCGTCCGAGTGCAATCTGGGCTATAGTTTCTCAAACGCCTCCTAGCAGAACGTTCAGGGGCTTCGCGATTCCAGCGAAATCTGGGAAGAATCTCCGATACCATGATGCCATCCCGATATACTGGCGTACTCCCTTGACGTTTGTGGGGGACTTGTAGCTCCGTAATTACGACGACCTTTTCTGGACCCATGCCGATCCCCTGGGTTGTTATTCGGTGACCCATGTATAGCAGCTCCTGCCTACGCATCGCGTTCGTCTACGCGTTTCTCCAGCAGCTCATCCACCTTGTTTTTTTTTGTCTTTCAGAATTTGGAAATGGCTTGTGCATCAATAAGAGCATCAGCTAGCATTCCTGTAATCATCATAAAGCTTAGAGGCCCAGAAGACCGAGGGGCGCTCGAGAAACGATTTGTTAGTATATATTAAGATATTTGTAATTTGTTAAGCTAGGAGGAGTTAGTAAGAAAATGTAAAATTCAATATTTTAAATTGGAGGGACAGAAATGCGATTATATAGAGTAAAGGCCATTGTAATTTTAACATAATAACCTAAAAGAGTCATGCAGTGCATATGTCGAATTACAATGGCTAACCCAGCATATTCAGTTTACTCAACAAGAGTTAGTGATTAACTGAATCAAATGATTTGCTGAAGTCTGTGTAAATAACATCAGTTTGAAAGTCGTTTCGAAAGCCATCTATGACAAAGGATACCAACTCCAGTAAGTTAGTGGATTACTCCGCTTCAACAAATCATCCTTGGTTTACAAGGTGCCTCACAAATTCAAAAAATACTAAAAAAAGGCTCTTACTTAAATATAAAAAAAGGAGTATTATTATATTTTTCAATATATCTACTAGCTTTAGCAAAATATCTACAGGAATTATATTCCTCTCTGCCGGGTACAATTTACTTAGGATCCGAAGTAGTTTTATAACTTTGTAAACACTAAGCGTAAGCATGTATTTTTTCCACCTCTACTTCTGTTTGAAAATTCACCTGCTACCTCAGGTGAATTGGTCAAAATTCAGGCCATTGCCGATCTATTCGCAATGATAAGGACTACAGATCACCCTTACGCGTACAACATCCAATCAGGAAATCTTATTTTCTGTCCGTGTTTCTCCGAGAATATTTTAATATCTTATCTTCTAAGGATCAAACACATTTATTTGCCAAACCCAGATGGAGTACGAGGCTGTGTGCCAGATACTGTGCCAGGGCTCTGTGCAAACTTCTACGTGGACTTTTAAACTTGTCTTTGAACCTCGGTTTTAGTGGTGGAAGGAAACTTTTATAATTCCCTTGCATAAAAAAGGGAAAAAGTCCGATGCTACTAACTACAGATGCATCTCTAAATTGTCGGCAATTACAAAACTATTTGAAAATTTAATTACTCCTCATTTGCAATACCTTTGCTCTTCGATCATTTCTCCATGTCAGCATGACTTCATTAATCGTCTCTCCACCACCACTAATTTACTGCAGTTGACATCCTTTGTCATAGATGGCTTTCGAAACTACTTTCAAACTGATGTTTACACAGACTGTTTACACATTTACACAGACTTCAGCAAAGCATTTGATTCAGTTAATCGCTCACTCTTGTTGAGTGAATCACTGAATGATCTGGGATTTCATACAGACCTCCAGCTATTTAGATGGAAGAACACAAAGTGACTTATTTAAAAAGTACATTCTCGCTTTGTCCGTGCTACATCTGGGGCCCCTCAAGAAAGTCATCTTGACCCGTTAATGCGACGACAACTCATAACCCAGACAATTAACAAACAAATTCCTCCAAAGTACAGATTTTTAACAAAAACTAGAAAGGGCGGCTATAGTCGAGTTTCCCGACTGTATTTCCTCAGCCGGCTACTAATCTCTTCCATCCACACTTTAACTAATCTTCAAACAAACAAATAGTTCCAAATATTATAGCCCCGAAGACTATTAAAACAAGAAAGGAAAGCTAACTTCGCGTGAAAGCATGAGTCGGGAGGATGTAAAGGCAGTGAAGGCGAATGCGCTTCTACCTGTAAAGCCGTACAACAATGCGACGCCAAGGATCCTAATTGGACTAACAAGAAGGTATGGATCTAGAGGACCGTCTCGATTAGATGGATTCCGTCTGCCGAAAACGTGGCAGATGACGCGACGAGGCCGCGCAAGGCCGTGGACCTGAGCATCGATTCGCGATGGCTAAGGGGTCCACCATTTCTACAAGCACCGGAGGAGAGCTGGTCAAGATCGAGCGAAGGATGGAACGAGGACGAGAGGTTCAGCGAAAAGTTCGAGCCTGTACGGATCCAGGGCGAGCTGTCGACTAAAGGAGTCGAATGGATTTTCAATTGCCCGGCGAACCCAGCTGAGGGTGGCGCTGGGGAAAGGATGGTGCAGTGTGTGAAGAAGGTGCTGGCGATGAACGATGAAGAACTCGCGCCCAAGGAGCACGTCCTGGAGAACCTGCTGATCGAGGCGGAGAGCATAGTGAACTCTCGTCAGCTCACACATCTACCAGTGACGGTGGACCAGGAGACTCCACTGACACCCGACGATTTGCTGAAGGGAGCACCCGATGTCCCAGATCTTCCCAAGGATGACGGACAGGAGCCCGTGAGATGCGCTACCAGGAAGCAGTGGCGCATAGCGAGGATGATGCAGGATCGGTTCGGGAAGCGATGGGTGCATGAGTACCTGCCGACTCTGATGCGCAGGGAGAGATGGTGCAAGCACGTCGAGCCCATTCGTCGAGGAGACTTGATGTTCGTCTGTGATCCAGCCATACCACGAAGGGAGTGGAAACGAGGCGTCGTGGAGGAGGTGTTCACCGGGAAAGATGGAGTACCTCGTCGAGCGGCAGTGAGGACTAACGATCGAGCCATGACAATGCGTCCCGCTTCGAAGCTAGCTGTCCTGGACGTGGTGAATGCTGCTGCTTCACGGGGGTGAGGATGTCGCGGAACGGATTAGGCTATCGATAGTCAGGATTTTATGAAGTCAGTATTTTTATGAAGTCAGTATTATTATGAAGTCTGGTATTTAGCTTAGGTTATTTGGTCGCACTAAAATCGGGTAAAAAGGAAAACAATATTTGGCAATTACACCGATTTGCGCCATCACAAGGAGAGGGAAGAGAAAACTGCGGTACGTTAGCCAATTAAGTAAATGTAAGAGCTAAGTAGATATTTTAAAATATTCTAGAATAAAACGAACGAACGAACGAACGAATCGAACTCCAACTATTTGTCCAACGTTAAAGGCATTTCCCGTGATCGGCCAAGCGGCGACAGGTATAAAAAAAACCCTTGAGGATGTGACCTGATAGGAACCAGGAATCAGAATATACAGAAATATCTCTACAAATCGGTCAATGTGGGTGTTTGTAGGGGGGCGTTGGTTCCGCAAAAGATTCCAGAATGGGGTTGAAAAGTGGAAAGTCGGGGGCGTCTTTAGGTTTAGTGTACAGCACGCGTTCAGCTTTATTCGGCTGCTTACATGAGATTAATTGCTTAAAAACTAGTACAAAAAGTAATAGAAAAACTACGATCGACGACGGCCGGCGAAGGAGCGAGAGCGCAAAGAGGGGCGAGCGCGGATGCGCTCTTCAGCGCGGGTGCGCTCTTCAGTGCTGGTGCGCTCTTCAGCGCGGGTGCGCTCTTAAAGTTGCGGCACACCGGCCCCTCACGTAAACATCCTCCCCCCCTTGCAATCGCTCGGGTTGCAACATATCCCTCGTCGCTAGCTATGCGTCACTGCAGCTAGAGGGCGTACATGGTCGATGAAGGCCCCCGTGTCGAAAATCCGGGTCCCGATGTTGACGCTGTTCCGTCTCAGCAGCGACGATAGGAGAGGCGGAAAGTTGCCTAGGCGCGGATGACGCGGGCGGAAGAGCGGTGGACGGCACCCGATGAGTGGCGGACGAAAGCAGTGGAGCGCTTGACGACTGCCAGCCAGTGGCGGAAGAATGCCGAGGAGTTGCCGACGAGTGCCGGGAAGTCGATGGCCGTGGATCGGCTTGTGAGTGCCGGAAAATGGCGGACGCAGGGCGAGAAGCACCCGAACCGCGCCGGGAGTTGGCGGATGACGGCCGACGAGAGAGCGAGACACCAGGTGTACTGTCTCCCGTGGGCGGTGACCGGTGCTCCTTGGTCCCGGGGTGCAGCAGCGTGTGGTGATCCTGACCACACGTCTTACAGCCGTCCCCACGCCGACAGGATCCGTCGGAGTGCTCGTGGGCCAGGCAGCTCGAGCAATAGCGGGAACCATCACGAGAACCACTCGGAGCCGCTCCTCGGCACTAAGGCGTAGGAAGCGCCGACACTTCTTTAACGGATGACTCCCATTGCAGACTCGGCATCGGTAGGATAGTGTACCTCGAGTACATCTGCTTTCCAGTGACGGGGCGTTGCGTGGGCGTGGCGACATCGTGCTGAATATGACCTTGGAATCTAGAATTAGACCCGGATCAGTCGGATCATCAGCTGATTGCCACCGTGCAGCGTGATGCGATGTGTAAATCGAAGAAGGAGTCGTAACAGAATTATGCTCGCATCCGGAATCGAAACCCTGAACCAGTGAGTCACCGAGGCTGCGGGCAACTCGTGCGGAAAAAACAGACACGCTGCGGGGGTTGGCTGGAGATAATGGGCCTGTCAGCACCCATCCGAAAATGGTCTCCTGACCGAGAAGCGACCCGCAGATATTAGCCTTGGAATTACCGAGGAGAATGGACGGAAGAATGTCAGCTCCTAATAACACATCGACTTGGGAGCTCTCAAAGAAGTTGGGGTCCGCCAGGGTAATATTGGGCAGCCCCTTGAGACGATCTCGCGAAATCGGATATGATGGCAGATTTCCTGCCAACTGCGGAAGAACGTAAGCCGCAGTCTCTAATTGTAGCCCGGGTCTTGACGGCGACCGAATAGAGAAATGGCACAATTTAGTAGACTGCGCGGAAATGGTTTGATTAAGGACGGAAACTTGGGCTTGAATCGTCTTGAAGGGAGGCTTGACGAGGTTGAACAGTCGTTCCGTTATGAACGTCGCTTCGGAGCCTGAGTCTATCAGTGCTCGTGCTTGGACGGTGCACCCCAAATGGCACACGTTGATAAGGGCCGTGCCCAGTAGGACGGCTCCTGACCCGGAAGCGAAACACACCTGCACATTCGACTGATCCTCGGGGCCGTTTGTTGACGTAGGCGGACTTGGAGCGGTAAGCTGCGTAGGCGGACTTGGAGCGGTTGCGAATGGATTGCCGCGGTGCAAGAGGGTGTGGTGTCTGCTGTGGCATGTGGAGCAGGTATGGGCGCTCGTGCAGTCTCGCTGCTGGTGCCCTCGGGCAAAACAGTTTAAACATAACTGCTTCCTCCTTATGTAGTCAGAGCGCCCATTTACATCCATTTCTAGGAAACGCGGACATAAGCGAATGGGGTGGTCCTCCCTCGAACAGAGATCGCAGCCCTTTTGGCCCGGAACCACTCGAGTCTCGTATGAAGTGAGCCTCCGAGCAGGGGCAGTAGGAAGTCCCGACCTTGGCGGAAATTGCACGGAGCCACTAGGCCTGACGTCGTCGATGGCCTCCAGAGTGCGATGGCGCTCTGTCAGGAAGTTATCTAATTCCTTCCATGTTGGAATCTCGGCCTTATTATGTACGGATTGCTCCCACATAGAAAGTGTGACCTTGGGGAGCTTTGACGAAATCATAAATACAAGGAGACAGTCCCAAGCCTCAACATTAACGGAGGACATTTCTAGGGCTGTCAAACAACTCTGAATGGTAGCTTGCAGCTCCTTCAGCGCGACGCCGGACTCTTGAGAAATAGCCTGGATGTTGAAAAGGATCTTCAACTGGCTGTTGACCAATAGCCGCCGGTTCTCAAAGCGGTCTGTGAGGCTTTGCCATGCGGCGACAAAGCCCTCATGGGTAAGCGGAGCCTTAGAAACAATGGCGTGGGCGTCACCACTTGTCTTGGACAATAAGTGGAACAACTTCTCTACCGGGGTGAGCCGCGAGTTTTGGATGTAAATGGCCGTAAACAAGTCTCTGAAGGTGGGCCACCGAAGATAATCACCCGCGAAGACCTCGGTATCCACCGGAGGTAACCGGCAGCCTGTAGGCGCGGGCGTGTGGACATTGACGGGAGCCTGAGTGGATTGGGAAGCAATTTTCTCCCGAAGCTGGGCAATACATCTCGAATAGACGGAGTAACAGTAGCTGTACTTCGCTTCCAGCACTGTCGAGGCGGCCGCATTGTCGTCGGACACGGCTAGCAAATCGGAGCAGCTCTCATAGCTCTTCTCCACCTTCTCCCATAGTGCCTGAATTTGGTCCCGATGAACTTCGCACATGTATTGGGAGCCTATTTCCGTTTCTGGGGCGCCCGGAGTACTTATGTTAGCCTCAAATTGGATAATTCGATCTGTTGTGGCGATGAACTTTTTCAACGCCACTTCGACCGCACTTGGAGCCATTTTTGCGACGGAGTGAGTCTGCCTTTGTGAAGGACCGGGGGTTGTATTGACGGATTCGTCACTCCTTGCCCTTGGACTGACACTGGTAGCCTTAGGCTTCAAAAGAGGCGTCCGCGGAGATGCGGATTGAGATCTGTCCAAACGGATGGCTGGGATCGAACGCGGCTTTTTGTCGTCTCCCGTGGGCATTCTCAGAGTCCAATTCGCTGATCAGCGCTTGTCGACTGACTCGCGCAACAGGTGCCCCGTACGAAGTGGTGGCCGGTCGCACTAATGTGATGAGAACGGTGAGATCGCGGATGAAAGGCAATTACAAGGAGCAAGTGCGAACTAGTGGCGCCGATGTGGAAAGGAAAGTCGTGTGCGGCACAATTCGAATGTGGAAAGAAAAACTTCAGGCACCAGAAAAAACCCAAAAGGAGACGAGGTTTGTTCGGATTGTAGGCGGATGTTGCCTGATGCGGAGTAGAAGCAGAGTTGGAGGCACGAAAAAATGGAAAAAGTACCGGAAAATTCGTGCTTGTTCGGAAAAAAATGATGACGGTCTATATATGTACATACATGTATATTTCGCCTTGTGTGGTTCGTACTGAATTTAATATATACTGAGAGATTAAATTCTTAACTATTTTCGAATTTGCGGAGCCGGAAGGTGGACTTAACTTTGGCTTGAATTTAACACACATAGATATAAATAATTAATTTTTGGCTAACTGTCGGATTTAAATATGATGGAGCCAGAAGGGTGGAGTGGAAAATCTTAATTTTTAATCAATTGAGGTTAATTATCACGAAACTGGAACGGTGGAATTGAAACCTAAATATTTGATTAATTGAATTTAATTAACACGAAGCCGGGAAGATGGAATTAAAAACCGCGGCTCTATTCGGACAGAAGGTGGATAATTAAATTAATTAATTATAATTTTCCGATAGTTAAATCTTCGACTTTAATTATTGAGTGGCCGGAAAGGTGAATTAAACCCTGGCCCTTTGCTCGAACGGACAATAAGAATTAAATAAATTTTCGTAGTTATAATTATAAATACACAAATTTATAATTAATTGATTTTTTAATCTATTTTGTTATGCAGCCGGTTATGCCGTCGGCACCCTGTACGTACCTCAAAGAAAAATAAACAGAACCGAAAAACACAACACGGCTAGGTCGAGAATTTAAGCGACACAATCACGGATTTGTAGTGAAATGGCGGTTTATAATTGTTGGTTTTAGAAAATGTAAAATATTTTGTAAATTTTATCGGCTATATATTTCCTGAAATTGGAGGCAGAAAATATTTGGAAATTATGTGGACATGCATGCAAGTAGGGCAAGGGCATGTGGGGCATATGATGGTACAGTAGAGCTTCGATAAGTGGACTGTATATGTTAAATTTTATCGGTTATATATTTCCTGGAATTGAAGGCAGAAAATATATGGACATGCATGCAGGTACGGATATATGTAAGGGCATGTGGGCATATGTTGGCACAGTGGAGCTTTGATAAGTGGACTGTATAATTGGGGGAACAGAAAAGTTATGTGGTGTAAAAAATGACACTGATTGAGGAAGATAAAAACAAATATTACGACAGCGGCGGACTGTTCGGTGAATTTGGAATTTCCGGAACTAATTCACACCGGTGGCCAATATTAATTATGCCTTCTTTTTGTCACCACACAATTTCACTGTTCACTTGCGAATTTTTCGCGGATTAATTGCACCAAAACAAAATATGTATGTGTGTATGTATGTATATGGATGCACATATGCCTCCACCGTTGGCAAGCGAATGGGTAACGGAGAGGCCGAAAACGGCGAGGAATATGGGCAGCACACAAAACGGAGACTGATAGAAAAATTTGCCGAATTTTAAGATTATTATAGATTATTACAAAATCTCAACCTGCCGTTGTGTCGGAAAACTCGGACTTGGAGTTGACACGGAGGGAAAAACAATCTTGCAGCAGTGTGAACGAAATTTAATGTTCGGATCACTGCTGAAGACCGGCAGAGAGATGGGGACGGAAAAATGTACTTATCTTTTGGCGGAACAATGCCAAGAACTGCTGGCAGAAGAAAATCCAGTAATTATCCGGCTCGAAGGACCAATGTTTGTAGGGGGGCGTTGGTTCCGCAAAAGATTCCAGAATGGGGTTGAAAAGTGGAAAGTCGGGGGCGTCTTTAGGTTTAGTGTAAAGCACGCGTTCAGCTTTATTCGGCTGCTTATATGAGATTAATTGCTTAAAAACTAGTACAAAAAGTAATAGAAAAACTACGATCGACGACGGCCGGCGAAGGAGCGAGAGCGCAAAGAGGGGCGAGCGCGGATGCGCTCTTCAGCGCGGGTGCGCTCTTCAGTGCTGGTGCGCTCTTCAGCGCGGGTGCGCTCTTAAAGTTGCGGCACACCGGCCCCTCACGTAAACAGTGGGCTTGTTCGGGTTTACCAGATTTTATGAAGGAATAGAAAAATAAATGTATTTCATACTTTTATTTTATTTTTTTTATAAAGTAATAATCGATTATTATCCATTAATCCATAACTAATCCATTATATATAAAGTGATTATAAATTATTCATACTAAATTAATGAATTTTATTTCTACAAACAAAATGTTCTAGCTTTATATTTATAGTTTTAAACAAGAAAATTAATTTTATAAATCTAAAAGCAACAAAAACAACATTTATTTAAGCTATAATAGAATTCTAAATTATTATATTTATGTACATATATATTTATATATATATATACATATATATTTATGTCTCGGTACTTTGTATAAACATTTTTTACTCTCTTCTAGTTTGTCTTCCTTGTCCTAAGCAGGAAGTGCAATATATCGTTAATGTGTATCGATCCAAATCAAAAAATGTAAGCATCGATATGTGGATATTAGTATCGATACCTTAACAGCTTTGAACTAATCGGAGTAAAGGAGACTCATATAAATGGCTTTAGCTTCAGAAAATAATTTCGAATTTAAATAATGCGAAATGGTAGCAAATGTAAATATATTTATACATATTTAGCAAGTCTATTCAAACGTCCAACGAGAACTTGAATAACGTATAAAACAGTAAGTAATAATATGAGACAACTTAACATGAAAACTTATGAGTTTCTTTTGTGTCTTTATCCAAAGTATTTTACAAGTCTCATTATACATATGCAATTATACATTATAAGTATGTATGTATGCAATCACTAACATACAACATATAGACTATTGTACGGAGAGCAACAAAAATATGCGTCTGCTCACTCCCCTAAAATGCATGCACCATCCACATGCAACTTAAGATCATTCGGCTTTCAAGGGAGGTCGGCTAAAATATATCCTGTCTGTTCCTATCTTAGTATATTAATTTTTATTGATTCAATTTTTATTGAAAATCGAAAATTGTGTGCTGGCCGGAGAACGGTAGTATGCCACTCCCACATTAAGTGCATACGAAAAATACCGACTATTTTAGGCACCCGATTGTCTTTCATGCACATAGTTTTGGGTATATATATTAACTAGAGAGAGAATAGCTAAAAAACGACATTCAAATGCACTTTTTTTGGCAAAATAATACTACATGCCGAATTTCATGAGGGTCGGCCAACTATATCCTATAGCTGCCATATAACTGAACGATCGGAAATGACCCAACTTTCGTGTTTTTGAAGAAGCTTGGGACTTTTTTTTAGATTTTTTATTTTAATTAATTGGTTTTATTATGATGTAATCATAAGGATCGTCCAACTATATCCGATGTTTGCGATATATATCGGGTTTTAGTACAGATAGCTGAAACTTAGTACAGATTCTATTTTTGGTCAGTTGATCCAACCTACCAAATTTTATTAGGATCAGCCGACTATATCCTATAGCTGCCATATAACTGAACGATCGGAAATAATATTTGGTAGAAATATCAACTTTCGTATATTTGAAGATAGAAGCTTGGGACTTTTTTTTAGATTTTTATTTTAATTAATTGGTTTTATTATGATATAATCATAATAATAATCATTTTTTTTCTAATTTTTAATTTAAAAAAGCCACAAATACTTTTTTTTTTAATTTTAATTTTTTTTGCTAAATATTTATACTTTAATAAAGACCATAAAAATGAAATAGGACGCTATAGTCGAGTTTCACAACATCGGTATTCATCTCTTCTACCCATACTTTCAATTCAATTCAATAGCAAAGCACTTTTGTGCCTTGGAAATAACAACTGAAGCCATCCTTAAAGGTATGAATTAGCCATTGGAATGGTTTGGCACTACGGGGGCTATAAAAATATTGCAGGTTGGAGAGTGAAAGTGGGCGTGGAAAAAATCTGAAACACACTCGAATGGCGGAGAAGTCTCCATACCAAATCCTAACTATAACTCTATCTTTTATAGTCTTTATAATACACGCTATATATGTATAGCTGTTGATGCTGATCAAGAAAATATATACTTTATGGGGTCGGAATCGATTCCTACTCTATGTTACATATGTTTATATATTTACAGGAATACAATATACCCTTGTACTCTACGAAATTTTTTTTTTTAATATCACAATTATAAAATAATCGTGTATTCGGTTCTTTTTGTTCCAGTCCAAGACCAGAAAAATGGAAAAGTGAAAATTTGGTGGAGAGGGCACAGTACCCAACTAAAGAAAGAGTATGCAGAAAAGTCTTTATTCAAATATAATTCATAGGATAAATATGAGTATTATGGAATATGACTCAAACAAGATGGTTTTAAACACCCAATGGTCCATAGAGGATGATTCTTTGTTTCAGCCTTGCGGGCTGGTCAGTGCACATGCTGGCAAGTCTGTGTTTATTACATGGAACTATAGTTATTTACTTAACTTTTGTTTTAAAAAGCCCAAAGGAAGTGATAAAGTGAAAATGTCCAGAGTTCGGATTCCACTGCCATTGTTAGAAGGATGCGTACTCCGCAACGTTTACACCTTAAAGTTTAATACGATGCTTGTTATGTCTGATGGAGCCATTTACTGCTTTGGTTCATTTCAAACCTTGCATTTAGTAGGATGGCTCAAGGGAGTTCGTTGTCTTGCGTTAACAGACTTAGGATTTAGTGTAATACGAGAAAAAGACCACCAACTGCTTCTGCAGACTTATCTTGATCTACCTGACTTAGAAAAAGGTGAAAGCACACTACAACACTCATTTAATATAACCTTCGACAAGAATAATATATTTGAGAGCGGCTTCAGGGACGAGTACAGTTTAACCTCTGTGAAAATTTCAGAAAAGGAAAAAAGATTTATGAATATCCTTTTTGGCATAAAAGACTCCACACAATGCCACATTTTTAGTATTGGTGGTCATATATTTACGTTGCTTTGCAATACTGATGCGACGGAGAATATTGAAAAATCGTATCATGTTGAGCTGTTTTGTGTGTACTCCGTTTCGGTGAGACTTATACGAATTTTACCTCATCGCAATCTATGTTTGGTTTTTCTTAAAAACGGCACAGTGGATATGTGGTTCTTGTCTAATCTTCTTGGAGTAAAACAGCGACAGATTTATCATACTGGTTCGGAATGGCTGGACTATGATGGTACAAGCAAAAATGGAGATTTCTATTACACTAACGGTGAGGTGGTTGTCCGACTGGAATTTGAATATAACAGACAGCTTGATAAGTGCATAGTAATAACTTCATCCGTAACAGTGCCAGGAATTCAAGTTTGTACTTGGCTAGAGCACAGTAAACAGTTGGTTTCTTTAAGTCAGAACAATATTTTCCAGTATATTGATTTTTCACTAGAAAAAGAGCATAATACAGTTAAACCTTCACAGATTTGTGACATTACACTTGATTCCATTCAAAACGTGCTAAAAAATATCTGGAGCTTTGATAGATTAAAGCGAAAGTTCGTTTTATTACAGGAAAAAATAACTGGAGAGTACCAAAAACAACACGTAATTTCTGTAGGCAGATACAGTGAAAACTTAAATAAAGTTTTCAATGTTTCTGCAGAGTTTCTTCGCCAGAAACCTGTCTGGGATGAAAATTTTAGGGTTCTGAAACAAATTCCGGAAACACATTTGAATAAAAACTTTATATATGTCATTATCCACGTATTTTTAAATAAAATTCAGTCAAGTCTGCATTACAAGAATTGGCAGCTATGGACCTTTTATGAAAATGAAGCCCTTATACATCTTTTGCCTAAAGAAGTACTTTTAGACAAAAGTTTTAAAATAGCGATTCCGATAAAAAAATTCAAAAATGAACTCATGCCATCATTTCATATAAAGTTACTGGCTTTTATAGACATAAAAAACGAAACGGCTGCTGTTAGAGTTCCTATTTTTATGAAAAATAGGGGGCTCACTCATCAGTCTCTATTTGATGAGAAACAAATTAGCTTTATCTACAGACCTAAACATTATCTACAACACACAAAAAAAAGTCTATCTATGATTCATCACGAAATTCACTCACCATTTAATTTAAGACTTTCACTTTCTTCATTATTTAATGTCAATACAAAAACTAACGGTGACACTTTTGATTTGATGGTTATGGGCAGCAGCCTGCGATTAAAAGTATTTGAAAGCTATGTGCATGGTACATTAGAAAGCATGGACGCGTCGTCTATTTTTTATTTTAAAGAACATTTACTTCAAAATTCACCGAGCCTAGACCATAAAGCATTATTCGATAATCGTTTAGCTTATCTGCAAATAAAGGTAGGTTAATAACATTAATTTCCTTAGTATTCAATATTAAACATACACATGTTTTACAGAAATTGCTGTGTGAAACTAAGCTGTTTGACGTTCACGATCTGGAAGGCGAAACGACTGTAAAAATGGCTTTGGAATCAAAATACTATGCAACTAGAAATAATATTTTCTAAGGTGTCCATTCTTTAGAAAAATATTTAACAAGAATCTTGAGGTTGAGTCTTGAGTATGAATCAATTATTTCGAGTCCTGCCTGTAAAATTCGTTCCAATAGAGTAGTTCATTAATTTTGAATTTGTTTCATTTCGATTTTTGAACCCCTTGCGGAGCGGTGGCCTTCTCCTTAATGTTATTTCATATTGGAGGATACCTTGTTCCTTAGCAGAATTGATATTTATATTTTTGGAAAATACAATTCAACTCTAAATTCAGCTATATCACTTCCTTTATTGGAAGTGATCGATATAGATCGATCGAATATTCAACAGTAGACGGTTCTAGAATCTCTGCAGAAAGTAAGCCACCGACGTTTCAGAACGTATTTTACCGACAAACCAAATAAAATTGTGAGCGTGATTGAAATTGTAATATGGGATCCACTCTTTTGCCACTCGACTTAAAACATCTAATAACGTATGTACGTGTGGGCCCACATAAATGAAAATGGGTAATAAAGTTGATTAATTATTTTGTAATTAATCGTTGTCCTGGTAATAGCAACAATGTAATTGCTTGCCACTTTGGATTACATTGGAGGGTAATGGAAAAACACGGTCGTCCATATTCACGCACGAGTCATAGTGTCGTAAGCTACCTGTGTACGATGATAATATAATAGTGGACTTGCATTTTTATACCCATGCAGAGGGTATAATGCCCATGCACTTTTGCAGTCCAAAAGTGTGCAACGCAGTAAAGGAGACATCTCCGACCCTATAAAGTATATAGTATTCTTGATCAGGATCACCTCCTGAGTTGATATGAGCAAGTCCGTCTGTCCGTCTGTCTGTTTCTACGCAAACTAGTCTCTCAGTTTTAAAGCTATCGACTTGAAACTTTGCACACACCCTTCTTTCCTTTGCACGCAGTATATAAGTCGGAACGGCCGGGATCGGCCGACTATATCCTATAGCTGCCATATAACTGATTGATCGGAAATGGTATAACTTTGGTGTTTTTAGAGTTAGAGAGTTGAGAGTCAAATTTGACACGAGAGCTATTTTTGTCAACACATTACGACATGCCAAATTTAATAAGGATCGGCCGACTATATCTTATAGCTGCCATATAACTGAACGATCGGAAATGACCCAACTTTCGTGTTTTTGAAGATATAGTATATATTTTGAAGACTTAGTATAGATTCTATTTTTGGTCAACCTACCAAATTTCATTAGGATCGGCCAACTAAATCCGATGCTTGCGATATGTATCCGGTTTTAACTGCAAGGGTATATCAACTTCGGCTCCGCCCGAAGTTAGCTTTGCTTTCTTGTTTTTTTATTTTTATTTTTTATTGTGACGGGTGAATTTATTGAAAACTGTCCAACAGGGACAACAATTAACTATTGTGCCAGAAAACTTGGCTTCTGTGTAACTTGAAGTACTAACCATACAGCATATATACAACACATTTCATCCAACGAAAATGGACCCAAAAATATCTTGCGACAGGCCCCAGCAGTCCCCAGAGCGAGTTCTTTCTCTCTTCCTTACGCTCATCGTTCGTTCATCTTACGCTCATATTCTCATAGAATGCTTTCTGTGTCTCAGTCTCTGACAGGAGCGCGATGAAGAAGATCAATCTACACAGTCACACATTCACATACATGGGTGTATGTGTGCGTGCGATTTCGTTTCGAAGCCAGCGCACAAAATTTGGAATTTTCTAACTTTTCCGGCTGTCTACCCTAACAAAATCCGGGTATTCCTTATTAAGTGAAATTGCGTAAGAAATTATATAAAATTTTTAATATTTCAGCTTACATTTTAAATTTATTTAGGAAATAGATTAGGTGTTAGCAGTAAAATGTTACCTATCTCTATTAAGTCCCCCAAGAAGGACGACAAAGTAGTCAAAGCACGCAAGGAGATCAAGCCACCACCGATTTTTATCGCGGACGTAACAAATATGAAGGCCATCTCTAGCGCCCTAGACAACAAGGTTGAGGTCATCTATAAGGCCGAGCAGAACAACTCCATTCGTGTCATGACCCCGAAGCGAAAATCAAAAGAGGTTCCACAATTTCCAACCCACAGACGAACGCGGCTACCGGTTGGTCAAGGGCCTCCATTACTCGACTGATCTGGAAGATATTAAAGAGGGACTCAACCGCCTCGGGCACAAAGTCAAGACGTACTTAACTCCACACAAAGGAGTACCAAGAAACCCCTAATCATTTTTTTTTGTTAAACTGAGCGGGCCAAAAACATAAGGAGGCGTTCCAAATAAAGTCGTTATGCAGCTCAGTAGTGGCGGTCGAGTGGTCAATTAAATTTAACAATGTCCAGCTCCAACGCCAACCCAATCCCGCCAGGCAATCCACTGGACGCGGCTATGTCCAGAATGGAGGCCATGTTCGAGAGAAATGACCCAATAATCGCCTCTGTCTGCAAGTCCTTATGCAAACGGGACTAGACGTCACAATTTTGAACGCCATCTGCCTGGTGAAAAGCAGGCCAGCAGTAAAGCTCTACTGTAAAACTGAAAAATTCGATATTCTCCTCATATCGGAGACCCATTTTACAAACAGATTCTACCTAACCCTCAGAGGATACGACCTAGTTGCTGTCAACCACCCATACGGAAGAGGTCGCGGGGGTGAGCCATCAGTCGAAGATCCCAGATGACCTGGTCTTCACCATCACAGGAGGACTGGACTCGGCCGGAATCCAGGTACGAGAAGTCACCGACCTTATTTTCGACCACAGCGCTCTTGACGTTTCCCTATACACGCCAGCCATCCAAAGGTCGGCCCGGAAGAAGCTTATTTATAAGACGACGGACATCGGGAAATTCCAGTCCTGGATGTGCTCTGCCGAGGATCTTAACATAACTCTGGTCGAGGAACTGATCGCAAAAATCCAATCTGCGGCAGCCGAGGCAGCTCCAAGGCTTTCCAACCGCCCGAGAGCCACTGACAGCGATATCCATTTTTGGAATCCAGACGTCACGGCTCTCAAGCTGAAAAAGCGGCCACTCAGGCGGGTCTGGATGCTGTCCAGAAACCCGAGGAATATGACCAACCTGAATAGAGTCTCCAAGTGGCTCTCTGAACTCTTGGCGGACTTGAGGAAGGAAGCGTTCGACGGGTTCGATGAACAGTTGGAACCGGGTGACCCAAAAAACAATCTGTGGCGCATCACGAAAAGCATACGACGTCCTCTTAGGAGGATCCCACCCGTTCAGCGAGCCGACGGCGGTTGGTACAGGTCCGAGACGGACAGAGCCAACGCGTTCTCCGAACACCTGCAAAGCGTATTCACCCTTTTCTACCGCTGCTCGCCAGAAGAGGAGGCAGGAACGGAACGTCTCTTGGCCGAGCCTGCACGAGGGCTCTCGACAGAATACCACCTGTGACGGAAGAGGAGACATCCGCCCCGATTTCCGTGTTGAGTAACAACAAGGCCCCGGGCGATGATGGATGGAATGCAACCGCATTTAAACTGCTGCCACCTCCAAGCATCAAGATACTGACGAACATTTACATTAGATGCTTGGATATTTGGTACTATTCGACCAACTGGAAACATGCTCAGGTAACTATAGCCCGGAAAACCCGAAGCCGATTTTGCCTCTTATCGTCCGATTAGTCTTCTATCGATACTCTCCAAAATACTCGAAAGAGTGTTTTTGAGTAGAGCATTGCCAGTACTGGACAAGGCTGGTCTGATCCCCAATCACCAGTTTGGCTTCAGGCTGTCCCACGGAACCCCGGAACAATGCACAGTGTGGTGTAGTATATCCTGGACGCCTTCAAAACCCAGAAGTACTGACTGGCTGTAATGCTGGACGTCAAACAAGCCTTCGGGTCTGGCATTCCGGTCTCCTGCTTAAATTGAAGACTTACCTGCCCAGACCTTACTATTTCTTCCTGGAGTTATTCCTGAAGGACCGAAAATTTGCAGTCAGATGCGGAGAGGCCACTTCCGGACTCAGGGAAGTCCGCGCCGGATTCCCCCAAGGCAGCGTGCTGGCCCCTTTATCATACAATGTCTACACGGCCGATCTCCCAGTCTTGCGGAGCCCCAAAATAATGGCAACGACCTATTCGGACGATACCGTCTTCCTGGCAGCTACTGACAACGCTACAGATGCTGTCATGCAGGAGCAACTAGAGAAGGTGGAATATTCAAGTGAATAATGATAAATCCACCGCCACCACATTTTCTCTCCGTTTAGGAAATTTCCCACCGGTCCCCCTCAACAGCTCCCCCAACCCACAGGTAGAAAACCCAAGATACTTGGGCTTCACGCTAGACAGGAAAGCTTACTTGGAAGCCTCACCTAGTCAAAAAGCGAAAGCAGTAAGATTTATGGCGTACTGATTGGCTGATGGGTAGGAGGTCACAGCTGAGGACCTCTTCGAAAATCCTAATCTACAAGGCGATTATTCGGCAAATTTGGACATATGGGATCCAACTTTGGGGCACGGCCAGCAAGACTAATATTCGGACTATCCAGACATTTAAAAATAGAGCCCTCCGTATGGCCACTGGGGCCCACGTCTACCACAACAACCAGACAATCCACGAGGTGATTGGCTTCCCAAGGGTGAAGGAGGAGATACAGAGAAGAAGCAGCAAGTACATCCAGAGACTACACAACCACCCCAACGACCACACTCCTCGACAACAGCGGACAGATGCGAAGGCTGCGCAGAACTTACCCGCTGGACCTCACCCGGAATAACTCTTAGACATTCTTATTCTTGTTCTTCTTTTTTCACCTTTAAGTTACACATAAGCAAAGTTTTGTCATAATATTTAATGGTTGTCCCTGTTGAACAGTTTTAAATAAATGAAAAATAAATAAATTTACCCCTGTCATAATAAAAAAAAAATAGATGTCCTATTATCAGGCCTTACGGATACGTACATAAAAATGCTACAGAGTTACAGGGACCGATTTTTGTATTCTGTTATTAATTTTTTTATTCTGTGTTATGCGACCGAGACTGTCAACGGATACGCCGTTTTAATAAATTTTTGGAGTTTTTTATATTTGAACTGCTATTGTTTACTTGAATTGTTAGTTGTCTTAATCTGGTATACGATAGGCTAGGGCGGAGCGGGGGCGAAATCTCTGCGAATTCAACACGCTTCGCCGCTAAGATAAGTTAGGCTTAACATTAGAGAAAAAAATAGAGATTGATTTATAACGTTAAAGAGGAAGCATCTTTTGTTTCGTTTACTTCTCGTATAATCTTTATCAGCCCCCAACAACTGCCCCTACTAAAGAAATCGAACCCAGGACCCCAAGAATAAGGAGCTCGCACTTTCCATCTAGGGTACACCCAAAGTTGATTTAATAATACTTAAAATTGGTGTTAAAGTAAGCGCGAGAATCCATACCAATAAAAGAGCTGAAGAGTAAGGATAGTAGAAGATATTTTTTTATTGAATTATATATTTTGGAAAACACATTAAAAGAATAAATACAAAAATATTTAAAATTAAAAAAAGTGGATGTCCCGAGCCTGGTTTGAACTCTTTCCACTCTGCACACCAGCCAAGCACTCTACCACAAAGCTTCCCACATTTGTTGTCGCGCCAAAAAATTTCTCAAACATAACCTGTCGCGTTGTGGAACCCGCTCGTTCCAGCGGGTTCCAGCGCTGGAACCCGCCATAAAAATGTTTCTTTGTATGAGATGTCTCATCTATGTACTTTATAATCTTTGGTTCAATCACTAACCATACAGCATATAGACAACCCATTTCATACAACGAAAATGGACGCAAAAATTTCTTGCGACAGGCCCCAGAGAGGATTTCTTATGCTCTCTTACGCTCATCGTTCGTTCATCTTACGCTCATATTCTCATAGAATGCTTTCTGTTTCTCAGTCGCTGAAAGGAGCGCGACGAAGAAGGTTGGTCTGCGCTTGGATTGTTTTTTATATGTATGCGTGTCACACATTCACATACACGGGGTCATGTGTACGTGCGATTTTGTTTTGAAGCCAGCGCACAAAATTTTGATTTTTCTATCTTTTCAGGCTGTCTACCCTTACAAAATTCGGGTATTCGTTATTTGGTGAAATGACGAAAGAAATAATATTATTTGTTATATTATATTTTTTAATATTTCATCATACATTTTAAATTTATTTAGGAATGAGATTAGGTGTTAGCAGTAAAATGTTTTGTATATATGTATGTATACATTTTTAAGAAGCATTAAAAACAATATACTGAGAACGGAGAAGGGTATATTTCAGTCGACATCACTTAAAACGCCGATTGCTTTTAAGTTTTTGTTGTTCTGCATGAGAACTGTGCTTGCATACCCTACCAATGGATGCATCCTATAATAGGATATTGTAAGACATCATATGATGGATGTGTTTCAGGCACACACTGAAGTTGATCGTTCCGACGATGTAAACCAATGTCTCGGTTTTCTAAATTTTATCAATTGTTAGCGCATTAAAACGTCCAGTATGTTGTCCTGCAGACGCCTTATTGGCTTTGATGACAATTTTATGATTATCTGATGGCCTGCGGTCCTAATGCAGTTGTGAAAAATGCAACTAATTCATTGTGTTGATGGAAAAATGTTTGAAGTTGTTCCACAATGGATATTTTGAGTTGTGTTGGATCAACACTGAGTTGTTGTATGCACAACGCTAATCAACTTCTCTTGTTGAATTTCCCATAAAATATATTTGCAAAAATTTATAGTCTTCATCACGCACTAGCAATAAGGAACCCGTTTTATAAAATATTTGACCCGGAATCTGAAAGAATATAAATTCGTATTTAGGTAATTGTAGACCAAATTGTTTGCCATTATACTTATTATACTTACCTTGAAAGTAGGTAAAAAATTGTCTCAAATAACTTTTGTTGTGCCAAATGACGTCATTTGATAGCAATTATTGTCTAGCTGGATATGAGTCAAAAAATTATAAGAATCTGGACCATTTCCGGAAAACAATTGAAGGAGTGGCTCTGGTGGTAGTACCAATGGCGTCAATTTGACTTGGCCGCTGGCGCAACACAATCCAGGGGCTTCTTTTTGGAATTTAAATGCATTCCAATGTGGACACACAATGTTCATTAGACAATTTGCTCTGAACTGTAATCAATTGCCACATTATAACTTAACGCAGCTGAGTGGGGATTAAACACAACATTTCTATGGTGATTTCGATTCCGTTGAAGTTAATTTCGCGCTTCGCGTTGCTCATCAGTTAGTTTTGCACTTATATATCTGTGACTTGCCGTATTTCGAGTTCTGCGGTTTAAGTTTGTACGTCTGGTGCTGGCATTGTTGGTTTCTTGTATTGGTTTCTGTGTAGTCGCCAAAAGTTACCAAAAAACGATCTAAAGTGAAGTGAACTTACCGTGACTAATAAACACTTATTAGCAAACAAAAACCTTTTAAGTCTTTAAAACAAACGAACTTAATGTGTTGTCACTGAATATCAACCAATTTCTTAACGCATCCATAATATTTGACAACCAGCCCCAGGCCAGTTTGATTTTCTTGTGTATAGGAAATAGGAAAGGGCTGTTTGTATGGCCATTAGGCCATTAGGTGTTTGTAGAGGTTGAGTGAATCCGTGAAAAATACATTCCCACGAGCTGTAGAAGTTATTGGGGCCGACTTTTACGTCGACGACATGTTAACGGGTGCTGGTTGCATTGAGGAACTAAAGACGCTGGGTTTGAATTGAGTAAGTGGTTTTTAAACTCGCCTGAAGTTACTGCATTCGAAAGCACGGTAAAGCAAAAAACATTTTCGGACTCAGAACTGTTTAAAGCATTAGAAATCGCTTGGGTTCCAAAAAAAAATATATTTAAATTATATTTAAATGAAATATATTTGAAATTGATGCTTCAGTCATGGGTCAAAGGGCGAACAAGCGGAACATTCTTTCGGTGACATCGAAGCTGTTTGGCCCCTTGGCTTATTAAGCCCTATACTTATAAAAGGAAAGATCCTATTGCAGGAACTTTGGCTAAATAAGCTAGATTGGGATGAGTCAATTTCAATGCACTTAGAAACAGCTTGGAACAATTTGTATTGCCTTGTCGCAATTAGAGGACATCTCAATTCCGAGATTCGTGTTTACCGAGCCGATGTCACCGATTCAAATTCATGCCTTTTCTGACGCATCGATGAGAGCCTATGGAGCCTGCGTCTATATTCGTTGCGAATCTGCAGAAGCTATTAAAGTTTCGTTGTTGACTGCAAGGTCTAAAGTAGCGCCGCTTAAGACAAAGACGCCCCCCGTTCTTGAGTTATGTGCCGCTCACCTTCTCGCAGATCTCTGCCGCATAAAGCCTCTAATCAAATTTTATATTGAACAAGGTGAACTTTTGTTTTTTTGTTTCGCGATCTTTCAGATTTTTATTGGAAATGTTATAATTAAGGCGTGTTTGTAAATGCTCGCTATCTACATTGATTGATTGATTAGGTTATATAGATTGATTCCCCCATTTATTTTTATTAGCGTTAGCTTGGTTAAGCTTGGTAAGTTTTCCTACGTTAAGCTTGGTAAGTTTATTAGTAAGAGCCTACTACTATATGATACTATACAAATTTGCATCCCAATTAAGACCTCTAAGTGGAAATGTTAAGAATTTATTTGTATGTATGAATATCAAAATGAAACCCAGAACACCTTTAGCCTTAATAACCATTGTAGAAATATGGTCGGCAAATTTAAGTTTAGAGTCTAATAAGACGCCGAGATCATTAACCTGAGTTAATGTTTTTAAGGCAATCCCATAGTGTTAACATGTAGCCTGCAGAGGGCCAGAACGATAAAAAAATTTTCATAAATTTCCATTTTGATCCATGTAGTATGAAATCATTTGATAAACACCCTTTTTGAAAATTTTCAAGATCGGTTTAAAAATTGTATTGGGCAGAAATGGATTTGTACTGAAAGCAAAGCTTTACATCATCTACATACATAATAACTAGAGAGTTCGTTAAAGCAGGAGGCTAGTTCGTTAAAGCAAGGGGCATTAATAAAAAGAGTAAATAACAACGGGCCAAGATGAATTCCTTGAGGGACGCACGATCTAGCACGGACCAGACGGGAATGTATGTTTTTAAATAAGACTCTTTGTGTTTTTTCATCTAAGTAGCTAAACGAAAAAGATCCACGTTAGTAGGTCTGTTGAAAATACCAGAATATTCAGGTTATTCAACAAGAGTGAGTGATTAACTGAATCGAATACTTTGCTTAAGTCTGTGTATATAACAATATAACGACAATTTAGAGATGCCGCTGTAGTTGGCAGCACCGGAGTTTTTTCCCTTTTATACCCTTGCAGAGGGTGTATATACCCTTATAATTTTGGTCAAAAGTGTGCAACGCAGTGAAGGAAACATCTCCGACTCTCTAAAGTATATATATTCTTGATCAGGATCACCTTCTGAGTTGATATGAGCATGTCCGTCTGTCCGTCTGTCTGTCTGTTTCTACGCGAACTAGTCTCTCAGTTTTTAAGATATAGGCTTGAAACTTTGCACACACCCTTCTTTCCTTTGCACGCAGTATATAAGTCGGAACGGCCCGGATCGGCTATATCCTATATCGGATCGGATATCCTATAGCTGATCCTATATAACTGATTAATCGAAAATGGTATAACTTTGGTGTTTTTTAAGTAAGAGAGCTTAAACGAGTTTTACACGAAAGCTATTTTTGGCAAAATAATACGACATGCCAAATTTCATAAGGATCGGTGGACTATATCTTATAGCTTCCATATAACTGAACGATCGAAAATGACCCAACTTTCGTGTTTTTGAAGATAGAAAGCTGAAAGCTGAAACTCAGTACAGATTCTATTTTTGGCCAGTTTATTCAACCTACCAAATTTCATTAGGATCGGCCGACTATATCCTATTGCAGCCATATAACTGAACGATCTGAAATGGTGTTTGGTAGAAATATCAACTTTCGTATTTTTGAAGATAGAAGCTTGGGACTTTTTTTAGATTTTTTATTTTAGTTAATTGGTTTTATTATGATGTAATCAAAAGGATCGGCCAATTATATCCGATATTTGCGGTATATATCCGGTTTTAACTGCAAGGGTATATCAACTTCGGCTCCGCCTGAAGTAAGCTTTCCTTTCTTGTAGGGTGACCAGATAGCTGAGGTGGGAAATACGGACACCGCCGTTTTGTCGTATCCACAAACTGTTCACAGGAATATTTTTTGAAATTGAATTGAACCAATACTATACTTTTCAAGTTTTCAAAAACAAAATTGTTCCGTTCGTCGCTCCATTGAATATTTACTAGTGAAAATACGCGTTCGCAATTTGCGTTGTGGCAGGGAATCGCAAAGAAATATTGAGCAATTTTGAGTATTTCAGAACATGATTCAAGGCAACTATTAGCTGCAAAAAAATCACACACTTTTTCATTGCTACTTTTTTTGAAAAAATCATCCTTTGCTTCTTTTTTGTTCAAAAATTTTTTTAAATTAACAAACTGGTCGAACAATTTCGTATCATCAATTTCAATATTTTTTGATGCGAGAAATGCAACCGATTTTTCGAGAGATTCATACCTCAAATCTTTCCCTGGCTTGAAATTAAACCATTCGAATTCTTCCAAATGACGCAATGACTGGCTCCATTTCAGTAAATATTCACAAGATCTTTCATACACTACAAGCATGGATTCTGTAAAGTTTTGACACTCAGTTTCTTTACCTTCATTTGTTAGCTTTTGCATTTTCTGCTTGACTGCGAATGGTATAAATTTCGAATTAAGTCTTTCAGTCAAAGTCTCCGATACTTCGTCAATGATTTGCAGAACTTCTAGAACAGAATTGTCTTCGCGTTCGATGCTTTTGATTCTATTGTGAAAGACATTCATAAGTGAACTTATAAACAGCAATTGCAATTCCGCAAAATCATCTTTGAAAAAACTCTCTAAAATAATTGGCGGATGGTCAGTGGATAAAAAAAATGATTTCAGAGCTGGAAAAATTTGTAAAATTCGATCAATGCTTGGCTTGAGGGTTAGCCAACGTGTTTTGCTGTGAGATAGCAGTTTCCTGTACTCCACGTCAACGAAATCGCAAAAACTCTTTAATTGATTTGTCCGAACAGTGTAAATCGAGAAGTAATTGAAAATTTTCATTACAATACATTCAATGTCGAAAGAACCGAACCGATCTATACCATGGTGAGCTGAATTGTTCATGACATGGCCTGAACACCCAATGCCAATGATATTTTGGTTTATTTCACGCCTTAAATAAGTCAATACGTTTTCTCCTTCTTTGCGATTCAGCCCACCAAAGTTTGTATTGATATTATCGCCACCGTATGCGACCAGTTTCTCAGTCAAAACATGTTTATCCAACTCACTTTTTATCATGTTAGCAATAGTTTGAGCTTTTTCATCAAACTTTTCTTTGATATTTAACAATTTGACAACTATCCCTCCTTCAGCAGGATCAAAATATTGGACTATCAATGGAAACATTTTCAAATTACCATGATTACTCGAATCAGTGCCTATACTAAAGAAAGGTGTCTTTTTCAAATCTTGCACTAACATTTCAATGGAATGAACAGATAGAACCTGATTTACAATAGCTTCGGTTTTTGTACGTCCGCAAGAAACATTTTTTCCTGCATGAGAATCGCCAAAGAGTGAGCGAATGAGTTGACTTGTGCAATCCATGGATCTGTAGCTTTGATGATGTTTTATGGTGTGGTATGCCAAAGTTCCTTCAGCCGCCCAAACTGCATGTGCCTCTGTTGCTGATTTTTGATAAGTGAAGTCCAAAATGGAACGCGAAGTAGATGCATCTTGCACTTTTTTTGAATGTTTTGGTGTAGCGAGGTGTTTTTCCAGATCACGGGTTCCTACAATTTCACAAGAGCAATCAGGCGATATTTCATGAAAAAAGAAAAAATACAAACCACTATTTGCAACTGACACCTCACAATCACAAACAATGCAATGAGCAAAATATGCAGATTTCCCATCGCTAAAACTACGAGAATAAGTTTTTCTCAACTCCTCTGTAAATGTACACTTGCGTTTGGTTGAATTCGGCGTGGTTTTCAAGCGTTTGTGATCGGGTGACTCGGACATTATGCCGTGTTAATTGTCACAAGCTTGTTGTCCCTATCGAGTGTCAGGTTAGATTTTCCTTTACCGAATTTCGAATACCGAACTTCCAGGATCTGCAACAACAAGTACACTTTTTTTTACAATAAAGCTCTCAACTAATCTAATCGTTATTAGCGTTTATAAAACATCCAGAATACTTACGAGTTGGTTGTTTTGTTACAGATTGACTGATTGAGAATAAAAAAGTCAGCTGTTACAGAAATACACAAAGCAACGCTAAAAGCAATGTACATATGTACGCGACAGTATGCATACATACATAGCAAACCGAACAACCAGACGCAATCGTACCATATTTCTAGGGAATTTTACCGTTAACGCGTGCTAAACTAATTGCGCGTTCTCTACGTCAG